TTTTTAAAAGATATTTGATTATATTAGATAGCTATTTGATTATATTTTATTTATGCAATTTTGTATGTATATGTGCAGATGGTTAACATATGTGGTGGTCAGAAGAGTCAGTTCTCTCCTTTCATAATGTGGTCGCAGGGATGGAACTCAGGTCATTAGCCTTGGTGGCAAGTGCATTTACCTGCTGAGTCATCTGCTGGCCTTTGAATATCATTTAAAAAATATTTGGCTAATTATGACACAGAGAAAAATATCTAAGGCCAATATTTAAAGCAGATGTTTCCATCAATATTTTCTCATCACAGTCTCTGGTAGCAAACAAATTCATGGAGATAATTCTGTAGTGCAGCTTTAAAACAGTCACTGAATCTGTTCTAAAAAGCAGGCTGAGAAAGCCATGGATAGCAAGCTAGTAAGCAGTACTCCTCTGTGTCAGCACCTGCCTGAGGTTATTGCTCTGTTTGAGTTCTGGTCCTGACTTCCTTCGATGAGATGATATGGCAGCATAAGCCAAATAAACCCTTTCCTCTCCATGTTGCTTTGATCATTGTGTTTCATCACAGCAACAGTAACCCTAACTAGGACAGTATCAATTATTGTCAATAGTGCTAAGTCAAATAATGACTCATTTAACTGTAAAATAGATAGTAACCAAGTGTAAGGACAAGGCTCAGCAAGGTTGGGTAAGTGTAGTTAAGAGGTGGAGCTGGGATCTGAACTTGAGCCAGTTTGGTTTTGTAATGCAAGTCACAGACACCACAAATAAGCCCTTCATATAGTCTCACCAAAATTGCCTGGGCCAGGCAGCCCTCCAATTATTCATTTCATCACAGACTACCAACCTAGTCAAAACCACTGCATTCCCTGCCTAGTCCTGTGCTGCAGATGCAAATACACATCCAAGTCCTTTAAGAACGAGCTAGACACCATGAATAAAAACACAGTCTTAGGTACTCTATCTAGTCTCTGACAACACCTAGCTGCCAAATTTACCAGGGAATAAACACCCTGGATTTTCCTTACTGGAATAAAGCTGGCTAAAACATTTTTTTTTAAAGTCTCTAAGACTATTTTTTTTTTAAGTATTAAAAAAAGAAAGAAAGAAAATAGTTGATATTTTAAAATAAATCTTGACCCAGTAAGAACTATTAGGCCTTTCTTTTTGTTGCAGTCAGCAAAAACTCTAAACCTATAAGAACACAAACAGTGGTTAAGAACATATGTTTTAAGGCAGCTCCATGTGTGGTAAGCCAAGTTCCAAACTCACCCTTTATACCGAAAGACTTCTAGTAACCTCAATATGTCAGAAGAAATCACTTTGAAAACCTACAGTCTTCCATGAGAGGAAAAACAAATCCAGGTGAGATTTTACTAATTATTTACCTGAAAGCTATTTCCTGAGAAGAAAAATGAATATCATTGTTTCCAATGTACTGCTTTGTTTTACAGCTCAAACTCAGGAAACTGCCACCCCAAGTCCTGTGCAATCTGGATGTTTGGAAAAAGAAATGAGGGCTGGTTTACACTTCGCACACACAATAAGCAAAGGATATGGGGACAGATGAGGAGCTGGGAACTGTCAGCAGCTGGCAGACCCTTATGTGTTCAAACTTGAAAGGAATCAAAAAGCCCGGAGTTGGTAGGGTTGGGATAACTCTTAAATGAGCAAGGAAAGAAAGACAAAATGGTAATGTGCGTAAGGATAAGTCCTGATTTAGAAGTCCATGTTGAAATGATGCTGATTTCTATACCTGGAATTGAATACAGGCTGGACTTTGGTATTATCACTATGAAGCCTTAGTATTTTGTAAATATTATTCTCCATCACCTTCTGATTAGTTAAATAAAGAGCTGAACGGTCAATAGCTAGGCTGGAAGGTTTGGCCGGACTTCCGGAGTTTAGAGAACGGGTCTCAGTTGGGGACCAGGAAGGAGTCGCTCCCCACCAGGACTCGGATGAGGAAGCAAGTGCCAGAAGGAGACTAAGATGACAAGTAATGAGCCACATAGCGGACTGTCATGGCCAGGCCAGGATTGTCAGGAGATTAGCTGCACACCTGCCAAGCTACAGTCCCTAAACTTATAATAAATATTATATGTCTCAGTGTCATTATTCAGAGCTGGTACAGGCATAGAAAACCTTGCGGTTACAAGTACATGCAGCGGAGTCACAAAGATCATCTATAACGTCAAATAACCAACACTACCCGGGGCATTTTCTCTTTCTTTAGCAGTATACACCAGGTTGACACACTATGCTTCCTTGTTCAGCTCTCACAGTGCTCCAGTGACGTACGCTGTAGCCCCAGTTTGCAACCAGGAAACTGAAGAACAGGTTAACGAGGAATCTATATGACCACCTCAGGCTTAAAAATAGCTCTTAGGTCCTTCGGGCCAGAATTCACCATGCAACTAAATGATATGTTACTGTGATGCAGTTATCATAGTATATACAGGTAAAGGAGAAATACTGCTGACGTGCACACATATACTCTCCCCCCCCCCATATAAAGAAAGGTTTTGCTACTGTGGATTTAGACAAATTGGAAGGGAAATATTTATTGGGGGGTAGTCTATTTCCTGACAACATACAGATCGTCCTGCCTCTGATTCAGTTTAGAGAGTAATGACACTATTATATAATGATATATAATATTAATAAAGACATGATAATAACTATGGCATTATACTCCAAACTATTATCATATATAGATATTTACATGTCATTTATATTGATTTGTGTATATTCTAGAGTTCATTTAGTTGATATAGTAAGAATGAAGTGGGCTTTGTGTAAATGCTACAGCACTTATAAGAGATGTAAGCATCTGTTGATCTTCCTGGAAGGTCCTAGAACAAATCAGAGTCTCACTTGCTGTGGACTCAGTTTTCTAAGATCAACTACGGTCTAAAACTATTAATTGGAAAAGTGTAAATAAATATAACGACGCACAGCTGCGAAGAGCACGATGACCTCTGTCTATATCCACAAGACACATCATGCTTTTCTCTACTGTATCCACTTTGTATGTGTTCCCAGCCCACTAGCCAGGAACTTTCTCTTTATTAGAGTCACTGCATCACATTATTTACATAATAATGATCCTCTGTATGTCAAAGGAACCAGAGAGCGCATCCTTTAGTGAAAAAAAAAAAAGGGGGGGGGGAATCTTTACTTAATAAGAAAGAAACTCATATTGAGGTTGTTATCATGGAATTAGGGAAAAACAAATCTACCCGTGAGCTCGTGAATAGAAACAAGCAATTTGTGTTAGTTTGCTGAAACACTTCAAACTGCAAAAGTCATATTTACTTGGGATGGAGCTTAATCAAGAGAGAAAGGCACATGCAATGGTGTAGGAACAGGGGAAGCCAGAACCTAGAAGTCCAAACTAGGGTTCCGTGAGCCACTGGGGCCTGGGACAAAGAGCTGCAGAAGAGGGGACTTGTGTTTGTTCCATACAATTCTGGTACAAAAGGTAAGGTAGCATGATAATCCCCATTTAACATCAAAGGAACCAAGATGAAGGGAGGCTGTGCTGGTGAACAGCTAAAAGTGGAAGGAAGGGACTGTCTTACCAGATGGAATTTCAGCCATACGTGATTTTCAACAAGTGCCAGAAGGCTGCTTTGCACCCTGCACAGAAGAAACTTGGGCACACCCGTAGAACGTGACAACTGAGGCACACACTTACACAGAGCTCGGTAGGAAGGATGCCTCCTTCCCAGGATGAAGTTATACTTCAGCAAAAAGAGTCTTATAAGTAAACAGTTTTTTTTTTTTTTAAAGGAAGCTCCTGTATTATATCTTCAAAGAAACTACTTCAAAACCATTCCTATTCTAAATGTATGAGAGGGGCTGTCCACATTACACTTCATTTCAATGGTAAGTTTCTCTTTAATAGTGTTATCCACCTCGACATTCAGCCAACACACTCATCTTCTGTGATAATGATACATTTCTGCAAATGGATAATTCACAAGGGTTTGAAAAGTAGAACAATTCTCTTTATTACTACACTTGAATGCTTCTATACTTAAATGTGTAATTACAATAGTTAATTCTTATCTTCGGTTAATAAAAGTGATTCCAAATTCCTTAAAACCTCAAGATTTCTAAGCTTATTTTTTCCCAAAGTATAGTTTAAAAAAAACATTCTAAGATTTTTTTTTAAAGCAAAAACATCTCAGAATAAAGATTTCTAATATTCTAGGAAACAAAGCAATTTTCATGCATTCCTCAGTATTCATACTGCTTGAGAGGTGATTAAGGTAATTTATAAACTGATATTTGCTGTTCCACATGAATATAAACCATACATATTCAACTGGTGAGTACAGTTCATTATGCACTGTAACCTTAACAGATACCCTATATTATTAATTATATTTATGCATTCTTCCATCATCTATTTGTATCAGGTGAGCTAGCAATGTTGTTTGAAGGAGTCACACCCAAGACAGAAGAAGATGAAGCAGGACATTTCTCATTGGGGTTTAGATATGAAGCAGTCTCCATGAAGGCACATCTGTTAAAAGCTTGGTGCAGCTCTAGGGGCTCACTGAGAAGTAACTGGATCGTGAGGCTATTAACTTCATCAATGGATGAAACCTCTGATGAATTGACAATTGAATGGGTGACTAGAAGGTTGGGCCTGGTTAGAAGTAGGGTGCTACTTCCAAGGGTTTATCTTGATTGGGTCCTATACCCCTAACCCCACTTCCACCCTCCAGCCTCTTCCTGTCCCTAAAGATGCGCCCTGTGGTTTTGCTCCAACACATCCCTGGCCACCATAACCTACTGCATCACACCTCACAAGCCAGGAGACAATAGAGCTGGATGGGACAGAGTGTGACAAATGTCAAGCTAGTTTATCAATAGATAAAAATTAAATAAAACAACAGAATAAAGCATCACAGAGTCTCATGTTCCTATCACTGAAAAGACTGACTACAAGTAATTTATTTTAGTAATGGAGCAACGAGATAAACTACAATACCTTTGAATGTATTTCTCCAAAATGTTAAAATAATGGGTCCTGAGAACAACTCTGCAACAGCTTGCAATCCACGCACTTCTGAAAGAAAAAGAGAGATAGATGTCTTACTTTGAGTGCACACAATAATTTCAATAACGTTTAAAAATGGGGCATTAACTATGGACTAAAATAAGCTAATTCAAAGAAGCAGCAAATAAATGTATTTCAAGAGATTCTCATGTGAGCACGCTTTCCTTGAGAGCAGCTCAAGGAAACTACCTATCCTAAAGAATTACTAGCAAAAAGACACCTGTGTTTAGACTAATTGTAGACTGTCCCCTACACTCAAGGGTGTGCGATGCTAATGTTGAGGACAGTGAGGAATTTGGATTATGGAAGGATTTCTGGGAGAAAGCACATAGGAAGTATTTGGCATTCATCAGAGTTGGAAACACCTTGCTGCTTCGCACCCAGTAGGAAAAGAACATTAAACTCAGAATTAGAACCAGCTTCAATTCACAATGACACTGACAAGGAGAAAGATGCAGGTGGGCCCAGCTCAACTCAACACTGGACACCTGTCAAAGCAAGAACTGCACAACTGAGTCAGTCTCTCTCTCTCTTATGCACATACACAATCTTACACGTAGCTTGGATTTTGTGTTGGGCTCTATCCATAACTATCTTGGGGTGGGGGCAGCCCACCCCAATGGATACTCTTGGCTGGTGGATGCATTTGACCAGCAGAGACCTGGCCTTCACTCTACAGGCTTTGACTGTAAATGTTACACTGATCAGTAACAGTGTAGTCAGGCAGTGATTGGGAAGGTATGAGACATACCCTGATCTTCCCCTTGGCTCACACAGAATTTACACCATTGCCCTCTTTAGGATTTAAACTATAGCTTGTGATGTTTTACAGGATCACAGCTTCACTTAAAAAAAAAAAAAAAATCCAAAAGCCAGAATACTAACCTACCAAAATGAAGTAGGTAGTTCATCTTCATTTTATTCAGTCCCCTTATACATACACCAAATTTCTTGGTGTGGTCTTCCCCCATGGTAGCCAAGCAGACTCACAAAACTACATCTCTGGGTTTCATTCTCTGTATCAAGTTATTGTTATTCTCATTGTGACTGGGGGTCATTCATTTTTCTTTGATTTGCCCCAAGAATCTGCATACTGCAGAAGCATCTAGCTGACTCTCGGTAAATAGCTGTTAAATAAACATGAGCCTTAAATCCTGAATCAATTAACACAATGTACTTTAAAGTATCACATAAGGGAAGGGAATGGTACTTATTTTTCATTGTTTTAAAACCACACATTCACACTCACTTTCAGGTCTTTTTTCAGTACAACCTCCAGTGTCTACAATAGTGCTCTCTACCGCAGACAATTGGTCCTGCTATGTGGTGAGACTCTCATTCCTACAGGCTGAAAGTCCTGTGCCACCTGCTTGGCATATCACAAGCCCTCTAAGGACATACACTAGCAAGCCCAGAGCTACCTCCCATAAACAGCCGCGATGTCAGCCTATATGCGCCAGTCATCACACATAGAATTATAACTCTGAGTATGACGTTCCAAGGTTTTAAAAGTAGACAAAAGGCAGTTCCTTAAATGTGTTTACTACTAGGGAGAAATAAACAATCAAGCAATAAAAACAAAGTGACAAAAACCCGAAGAAGTCATCCAGGTAATTAGAGGGGGAAAAAAAAACATTATGATTTTTCTATTATGACACTAGTTTTTCATCAGCTAAATAAAAACATCACCATATCATTTTATGTAATAAAATTCAACCTTATTCTGACCTTCCTCATAAGGCAAACAAACCTCTCCACCCAGTAAGCTTCCATCTGAACTATGTAAGATGATAAGCAATACCTTAATTGCATTCATTTACATGACTTTGAAACTATTCTGGGCTGAAGTCATGACTGCAAGGTCACAGAATACAAAAAGTAGAATGTATGCAATTCACCTAGGAGAAATTATCCACTTAGAACTGTGTGGAAGCAAGTGCCTTCTCTATCCTGCATTTGGAAACATCAAATGCTGTCTGCAGTCAACAGGTACACACATCTGTGCACACACACATATTCACCAGTTTTATAAACACATATAAGACATACGAATATGTTTGAATAAGTCAGTCACATACAATGGTTCTCTTATTAAAATTCATCAGCCTAAACTGAGGCAAAGAATAATTTTAAATATTTTAGCAGCATTTTTACAAAAACACATAATACAACTATTATTTTCTACCATTGCACAAAGATGTCTGGAAACTATAAATAATCTATTTGTAAAAGCTATATCTTTTTGAAAAACGATTATAAGCAAAGGAATGTATATTAAAATACTAACTCTTTAATACATATATAATATATGTAAAACATCCTTTGTTTATAATTACTTTCCAAATGGACATATTTACAATACAACTCCCTTACCTAAGGTTCAAGAAACATTATGGAAGAAGGGAGCAGAAAGATTATAAAAGCCAGGACAGGAAGTCAGCAGTGAGATTGTATCTGCTCAAAATGACAGAGAGGCTTACCCATGAATTCTCAACAACATGGCTGCCTAAAATAAGATCTAATCAATGACAACACCAATAACATGCTAACATGGAGCAAAGGATGGGGTGGCTCTACCAGGGCCCTAACCATAGACAAAGAACTACAGATAACTAAGAAATGCTAAGGGTGGGATAAATAGCTTTCCCCAGGAAGGAGCCTCCTAATTGGTTATTCAATAGCAAGTGATCATATACATACAAGAACAGCAAAGGGACTCAGCATGTTGTGTGTGTGTGTGTGTGTGTGTGTGTGTGTGTGTGTGTGTGTTTGCATTTATCTACACATTTATTGATAACAACTAAAGAAAACGAGGCCATGAATTTGAATGTGGGGGTTACACGGGAGGGGTCAGGAAATGAGGGGGAATTGACGTAGCTGTGTTTTAATTAAGATTGTCTTTTCTCTTTAAAAAGGGATCTATGGGGCTGGAGAGATGGCCCAATGGTTAAGAGCACTGACTGCTTTTCCAGAGGACCTGGGTTCAATTCCCAGAACCCACATGACAGCTCACACCTGTCTGTAACTCCAAGTTCAGGTATCCTCACACAGATATAAATGCAAGCAAAACACCAGTACACATAAAATAAATAAATAAATAAATAAATAGATAGATAGATAGATAGATAGATAGATAGATAGATAGATAAATAAATAAATGCTTTTTTAAAAAAAGGCTCTAGTCATAGAGTCTAGAACAGTAGCTTACTGGTGGAGTGCTTGCACAGCATGCACAAGACCTTTCCATCCCCAAAGTAAGAAAAAGCCATGAGTTTGTTTCGTTTTTAAATAAGTGGAACAAGCATATGTTCCTCTGACTGACTAGAGGGCCATACTTCCAATATCTCAAGTCCAATAACAACACATTAATAGAGGAAAGGAAATACCCCAGGTTGAAAGAAATCCACTCTCGTAAGTGATGGGGCACATGCCTTCCTCTTCAGAATCCCAGAACACATCAAGACAGACCAAAACAACAGCCTCATAACATAGTTTCTCAATTGTAACAGAATGCAACTCTAAAGTGATTAGCTATCACAACACTTGGATTCACTCCCCCCAAAAATGGGGAAACTATAAAGATGGGCTGAAAGATACTTAAACTTTTATACATATAACACATACATTTATGTTATGTTATGTTATGTTATGTTATGTTATGTTATGTTATGTT